CCCACCATCTTCCCGCTGCGTGGCGTCCATGTGCGCAAAGTAGCGCGCAGAGCCGCGGGAACAACAACAACAACAACAACAGCCGTCGCCGTCGGCCGCCACTGTCCAGACTGCCCAGCTACAACCGGATCTCGTGTCTGCTTCGGCGGCCTTGCTCCTCACCCTTCAGGCTGCGGAAAGACAGTAGCCAGGCACCGGGATCTGTAACCACGGCACCCACCACTCCCACCCGAGAAGACTTAAAACCTATCGACCTGACGGTGCAAGTGGAGTTTGCAGCTGCAGAGGGCGCCCCTGCCGCAGTGGCCGCTTCAGAGCTGGAGGCTGCGGAATGCCCTTTGGGTCCGCAGTTGGTGGTGGTAGGTGAAGAGGTTTTCCCTGATAGTGGTTCCGACCATTCAACTCATTATCATCAGGCACCACGGAAGAAGAGCTTCTGCGCAAGCTGAACGAGCAACGGGACATCCTGGCGCTAATGGAGGTAAAGATGAAGGAGATGAAGGGCAGCATCTGCCACCTGCGTCTCACTGAGGCCAAGCTTCGTGAAGAACTCCTTGAGAAGGATAGGCTGCTGGCCATGGCTGTCATCTGCAAGAAGCATGGAATGTGAACTGGTGCCCCTGTGGCCTATGGGACTCCTGGATCTTTGCCTACCCAGGGGGTTCCTCAGGCTGCTGTTGAACTCCCCCATTACTCTTGAGGCTTAGGGCAGCTGGACTCTTACTGGTGACCTGGCATCCTTGCTTGTTTCCTCCTGTAGTCCGGGTCTGGGGCCTCAGACTCTACACTGGAGACACCAGTGATTCTGACTTGGTTTTCCCCCCAGTTTACACACTGAGGATTGTGGTTAAGCAGAGGCTTCAGAACTGCTGAACTTGAAACTTACCCCTAAGGATGCAGGTGTAATGCCCAGGGACTGGGCTTGGAAGGACAATATCTTGAGGTTGGCCATCAATCAGAGACAACTCTTATGTGTGTAGTGATAAGAGATCCAAGTAACATCAGTTCTCCTTTTCATGCTTCTGATGGGGACTGGCAGATCTGTGCCTCTCTGCCTCCTAGAGCCCCCTTTCCCAGGAGGTGGTCTTTGAGGGGATCTGGGTGACTTGCTTGCCAGATCTGGGAGAGCCAGCTTGCCAGGAACTTAGGTTTATCCTGTTATGTTTGCTACTGGTTACAAATTCTATTTTCTGTACAATTAGACTAAAGTTTTCACTGTGTTTGTTTGGCAAAGCAAATTAAACAGAAAGTAAGGTTATAAAACAAAACAAAACAAAAAAACCATACAGACAGCAAAATGGTAGCAGAAGGTCCATTCCTATTGATAATTACACTGACTAGAGTATTAAATGCTCAGGAAACAAAGAGAAGTAGAATGGGTAAGAATATATGACCCATTGATAGGCTGTCTAATAAGCTGTCTACAAGAGACACTTTAGATTATGAAGACAAAAATAACCTAAAAGTCAAAGGATGGAGAGACGCTGAGGGCTAATGCGCTGGACACTTCAGTCCTCAAAGTGACATCTTTTGTTTTTTTCACACTTCAAAGTGGTCTTTTGCAACGTATTTGCTCAGTGCAATGCATTCTTTGATTTCATGACTGCTACTCCCATGGGCATTGATTATGAATTCAAGTAAAATCAAACTTTAATATTGTTTGCATTTATCTTGAATTGTGAAGGTTTTTGTTTTCTTTTTGTTGAGGTGCAATCCATTCGGAAGCTGTAGTCTTTGATCTTCATCAGTAAGTATTTCAAGTCTTATTTGCTTTTAGCAAGCCCTGTTGTTCCATCATGAGTCCTGGTGTGGCGCTGTAGGATAAGTGTTGGATCACAAGGACCACTTGAACTGCAAGATTGTCCATTGCCAGCCTCTCCTTGGAAACTCTACCCAGGCTTGTTAGGAGTCAGGACTTACTCTATAGCAGTTTTCTCCATGTGTTCTTCATAGAGTCCAGCTTCTCGGATTAGTTTCTCAACATGCGCACTGAATGAGAATGGTGACATAATAACATTTACCCATACCTTTCCATGATTTTAAGCCACCCAGCATCCTCTTGATCTTTTTGTCTATGTACAGGTTCCATAGGAGCACAATGAAGTGTTCTGGAATTCCTACTCTTCATAGTGCTATCCATAATTGAATATGATTCACATAGTTGAATGCCTTTGCATAGTCAATAAAACACAGGTAAATATCTTTCTGGTATTCTCTATAGCCAGCCAAGATCCATGGGACAAAGTAGAATGGCCCCCGTAGGATTTCCAAGGCTGTAAGCTTGTGACACTGTAGGATCAGAACTGGACTATGAGCCACAAGGTCTGCAGTTCAAACCCACCAGCTGCTCCTAAGAAATCTTATACAGAGTCGCTATGGGTCAGAACCAACTAGACAACACTTAACAACAGCTTTCATGGGAAGTCCTGTACTGCTAACCATAAGGCCAGTGGTTCAAACCCACCAGCAGCTCCTTGGAAACACCAACCTTGCGATTAGCAGTTCAATGCTTGTCCTACAACGCCACACCATATCAGGGGTCAAAAACCCTTGACTTATATGGCATACACCCTTTGCAATGAACTGATATTTACTTGAAACAGCAGGACAAGGCATTGTGAAGGGTAAAAGAAAACCTTCTTTGATTTCACAGTCGAGAGTGATAAACGTGATTTTCAATGAAGTCTCAGTAGATCTGCAGAATAGGGATCCCAGGGATTATTCCCATCTCTGCCCATGTCTTCCAATGTGAGGAGAAACAGCTGTGAATGTCCCTCCTCCACCTACCCAGCATGTCTTTCAGGATTTCTTCAGCCCCTCACCCTCAAAGCTACTCTGTGTTTGTTTGACAACAAAGCTAGGAATTTATAGGCATATCTCAGAGATAACGCGGGTTCATCCCAGACCACTGCATTAAAGCAAATATCGTGAATTTTTTTGTTTCCCAGTACACATAAAAGTTATGCCTGCACTATACAAGCAATATTATGTGTTCAATACCATTATGAAAAAAATTGGAAATATGAAAATTACCAAAATGTGACACACAAAGAGACTCAAACTGAATACATGGTGTTGGAAAAAATGATGTCAGTACACTTGTTAAATGCAGGGTTGCCACAAACCCTCAATCTGTGAAAACCACAATATCTGTGAAGCTTAAAACCTTGAGCCTCAGTATAAAACCTAGAATACACAGATGATACAAGCTTGCTTGCTGAAAGCAAAGTGGACTTAAAATACTTACTGATGAAGATCAATGACCACAGCCTTCAGTATGGGTTGCACCTCAGTGTAAAGAAAATAAAAATCCTAATCATTGGACCAGTAAAACATCCATAGAAATGGAGAAAAAAATATTAAAGTTGTCAAGGACTTCATTTTGCTTGGATCAACCACCAACACTTATGAAAACAGCAGTCAAGAAATTAAACGATGTATTGCATTAGGCAAATCTGTTTCACAAGATCTCTTAAAAGTGTTCAAGAACAAAGACGTCAGTTTGAAGACTAAGGTGTGCCTGACCCAAGCCATAGTATTTTCAATAACTTCATATGCATGTGAAAGTTGGGCAATGAATAAAGAAGACTGTAGAAGAATTGATGTATTGAGTTATGGTGTTGGAGAATATTGAAAGTACCATGGACTGCCAAAAGGACAAACAGATCTGTGTTGGAAGAAGTACAGCCAGAGTGCTCCTTAGAAGCCAAGATGGCCAGACTTTGTCTCTCATTCTTTGGACATATTGTTAGGAGGGACCAGTCCATGGAGAAGGATACCATGCTTGGTAAAAGGATATCAGTGAAAAAGAGGCAGACCCCCAATGAGATGGATTGACGCAGCGGCAGCAGCACCAATGGGATCAAGTGTAGGACTATGAGGTTGGCACAGAACCGGGCAGTGTTAAGTGTTGTACATAAGGTCATTATGAGTTGGTACCAACTTGATGGGATCTAACAACAACAACATAAAACGAGGTATGCCTGTACTCATTATGGGATCATAGGCATGTGGAAGACATTGTTTAAATAACTTTTTTTACTCTCTCTTGATATTTTAAAGTTTATTTTGTCTCATATTAAAAATAAACCTACCTAAGTGTCCATAAAGGAAAACTTACGGTGCAGTGGGTTCAATGTTGGGTAGTTTGAACATACTAGCCACTCCACAGGAGAAAGATGAACAGACTGCTACTGTAAAGATTTGCAATCTCAGAAACCGTATGGAGCAGTTCTACTAAGCTTTATAGGGTCGCTAGGATTCTAAATTGACTCTAAGGTAGTGGGCTAAAGGGTCCAGAGGAACTTGTAACTGATGCTGAAAGCATGGATGCATCACTTCTTTCTCCAGGTCTCCATTTTCTTGTCTGTAAATAAGGACTTTCAGTCCCCACCACACCCTCCAGATGTGAACAAATCTCTTCTTTTGAATTTTTTTTGTCTCCATTTCTAGTTGGCTCCACTCCCAAGCAATTCTGAACATATCTACAGGGTTATGAGAGTCCTGGGTGGCAGGAATGGGTGGTGAAAGGATGGTGGTCTGACTCTACCCAGAGGGGCCTTGGAAGAAAGGTGTCTACATCTGAAAACCCAACCATTGAAAACCCTATGAAATACATCCTACCCTGAGGCACAGGAGTCACTAGGAGTTGCAGTTGACAGAATGACATTCAGTCACCTAATACTGATTTATAACGCAATGTGCAGATTCCATCTTGTAAGAAGCATATATTAGAATCTCACAGGACAAAGGAGATCCTGTCCTCAGTGTACACAGCTGGGACATAACGCAAGAAAAGAAGAAAGATGCACAAATGAGAGCCAGCATGCTCCGCATCCTCCCAGAACCTTTTCTGGGAAGCCAGTTGGGCTGATGGTACAAGAGGGACAGTGGAAATCCAGTTGCCTTGGTGATCACATTCCAAGGACCAGTCTGGGGCCTGTCCCTGGGCTTCTTTTGGCCCCAGGATATCCCCATACCAGGAGACCTGAGACACAGGCCTAGGTCTTCTTAACCACACTGTACTCTGTTTCTTCTTGAGGCCTCTTGGAGGAAGAACTGGTGGCCTCAGAATCCTGATTCTGGAGTTTAAATGCCACTGAGGTATAATGAGGCTCAGCTCTGGGGGCTGCCTGCAAGACAGATACAGGGAGAGGTGGGATGGAAGGACCCCAGCTTAGGGTCAGGGGAACAACCAAGTCATGAAGGCTTCCGCCTTCCCAACTGTCCTGACCTCTTACTATCTCCAGACTGTTCAAACAATTGACTCCCCATCCTGTTCATCACCTGCTCCACCCACCTGGTCAAGACACAATTCTCTCAAACCATCAGAGTCAGGAGGGTACCTCGGGTCTCAGCATCTGACCCTGCCTGTGCATTTTCTACAAGGAGAACACAGATCCTGAGAGGTCTACAGGAATCAGCTGGGCTCCCCTGAGACAGACTTTGTGCTACTCTTGGTGAAACATTTCAAGAACCTATGGGTCCCTTTCCAAGGACTCTGCTGAGTCTACAGAGGATGCAAGGCCTCTAGGCCTCTAGGCATGGAACCAGCTCCTGCACCTCTTCCCTCTCTGCCCACAGTCCAGGTGGTGGTCCCCGCGCCCGGGAACTGCCCTCCACACTCACCACTGTGCTGTACTCCACCTCTGTGTCCTTCTGATTCTCAGGAGCTCTCCCTGAGGGCCGCGTCTGCAGCTCCACGTTCTCATAGCACGGCTCACTCAGCTCTGTGGGCTGAGGCTGGGTGGGCAGGAGGGCAGGAGGGCAGGAGGGCAGGAGGTGAGCTTGGTGGTTCTTCTCTGATCTTCTCCCTGATCCAGTCCAGGGGGTATCTATCCCAGCCTCTCTGCATCCATCTTCCCCTTCCCTCCATGTCTGGGTGTCCCAACCCCCGTCTTTCTGCCACCCTCCACCATCCCCCACTCTGGGTCTCTCTGGGCCATATTTGAAGGCTGCCCTGGTCAGTGGCTGGGCTGGGAGGACCATCCTCATTCTGTTTCTCCTGGACCAGATCTCAGGATAAGACTCAACAACCAATCTCCTCTGGCTCTGACCAAGCACTGCCCTCTGTCCCTGCATGACCCTCCTGCCCTCCGCTGGACAGTGGCACTGCCCATTCTATCCCTGGTCAGCTCCCCAGAACTCCTCCTCCTTCAGCCCTCTCTTACCAGACTTGGGGTCGGCTCTGCATTCTTGGCAGCTAAAGAGGCAGAAGGAGAGTAAGGGGGTGAAGACACAGAAATCCCAAAACAAAGACTGAGGAGGGGTTGTTGTTGTTGTTGTTAAGTGCCGTCGAATCGGTTCCGACCCATAGCAACCCTGTATAGGGTTTCTGAGGAGCATCTGCTGAGCTTGAACTGCCAACCTTGCAGTTCACATGGTTTTGCAGTCTGGTGAATTAACCCACAACGCCACACTAGGAGTCCCTAAATCCAATCAGAAATAGATCTCTGCCTAGGGACTCCAGCTCTGGGGAGGTGGTGGGGTGCTATCAACCCAAGAGTTTATTAGTGGGTGAAGTACTGAATGAGTTTATGGATGAATGAATGAATGAACAAAAGGAGTGGAAAGATTACAACTGGAGGTGAGGGGCCAAAGTTAGTTCTGCAAATGCACTGAAGTGGAAGGGGGGCAGCTCCAGGAAAAACAACCGAGACCACTCAGCAAGAGTCAGATACTTAAGGAGAAAACCTTTCCCAACAACAGAAGGCTAGTGAAATGTACTACTATGCTCTGCTGTGAACAATTTTTTGAATTACATTCAACAGCAGAGGCAATGATACAATAGGCAATGTGCAAAAAAGGAGGGGCATGAAGAGGATTTATGGTATGAAGTCCTGTTTTTAAAGAAACCATACATACATGTATTGTTGTTATAAGGTGCTGTTGAGTCAGTTCCAACTCATATTGACCCTGTGTGTACAACAGAATGAAACACTGCCCAGTCCTACACTGTCTTCACAGGTGTTACGTTTGATCCCATTGCTGTTGCCACGGTGTCAATCCATCCTTGGGGGTCTTCCTCTTTTTCATTGACCCTCCATTTTACTAAGCGTGATGTCCTTCTCCAGGGATTGGTACCTCCTGATCACATGTCCGAAATATGAGAGATGAAGACTTGCCATTCTCAATGTTGGTTCTTCTGGAAGTCCATGGTACTTCTTTGCCAACACGATAATTCAAATGCATCAATTCTGCTATGGTCTTCCTTATTCATTGTCCAGATTTTGCATGCCTATGAGGCTATGGAAAATACCATGGCTTGGGTCAGACGCACCTTCCTCCTCTCACTGATGACTTTGTTCTTCAACACTTTGCTTCCTTGAGTGTTGATTGTGGAGCCAAGCAAAATGAAGTCTTTTGACACTTCAATCTTGTCTCCATTTATATGGATACGATTTATTCGTCCAGTAGTGAGGATTTTTCTTTACGTTAAGGTGCAATCCATACTGAGGCATGTCGTCTTTGACCTTCATTAGTAACTATTTTAAAACCTCTTCACTTCCAGAAAGCAAAGTTGTATCATAGGCATTTTTTAAATGTCATTGATGTTTTTGTTAAGAGCTCTCAACTCAGTTCCAGCTTATAGCAACCCTGTATAGGGCTTCTAAGGGGCATCTAGTGAATTTGAAATGCTAGAAAAAAGACCGGAATGATGTACCTCAAATGTCAGGGGTTGGTTTTATGTGGGTGATGCTTAATCATCATTTATTATAAATTACTTAAGAATCTCTGATGGCACAGTGGTTAAGTGCATTCCTGCTAACCAAAAAGCTGATGGTGTAAACTACCAACTGCTTCACAGGAGAAAGATGTGAGCGTCAGCTACCATCAAAATGTACAGCCGGGGAAACCCTCTGGGGCTGTTCGACCCTGTCCCACCGGGTCACTGTGAGTCAGAATGGACAAGATAGCAGTGGGTTTCTTTGCAATTTATTTCCTTCATGGTAATTTTCTTAGCTTTCTCATTTTCTCCAACAATGAGATGAGAGGAAACTAATATAAAAACCTTTCTAGGTGAAAGAGCATGAGATGAGACCAGCTGGGGAAACCCTCTCATGGGAGGGCCTCTATTTAGGAGTAGACCTGGTGGAGAAGAGGAAGTGTTTTCTGTCTAAACATACTACACAAATCTGCTGAGGCCAATTTCTCCCCCAAAGACTTGAATGGCATTTTGGGGGATGCTGGACCCCACAGGAGAGGCTGGACATGAGAGTGTGGGGAGAGGCCTCCCCACTCCCTGCTTCCCACACCCCTTCAGGCACTAACTCCCTCCTGATTATCAGAGCAGCTCCTCTACTCCTACCCAATCTCATCTCAGCCTTTAAAAGGAGCAGCATCTGCAGATAAGAATACCCTGAGAGTCCTCTGGTCAAGGAACTTGCAGCTCTCAGATAAGGAGACAACAGGCTCATGTTTCCGGTAGTGGTCCTGGCCAGTCCAAGAGAGAATCACTTCATGGGTTCCTCTGCGTTTATCTGAGTTAACTGTCTCTGAGTCAATTCGCTTGTCAATTACGTATTATCTACTCACTGAAGAACAACTCATGGATACTGTGGTTACACGTGTGCGGTGCCGGGCGCTCCCTACGGGAGGCCTCAGACTGGGTGGAGCTGAAGATATTAATCAATTCCATAACTCAACAAATAGTCCTGGACCATAAGACGTGCATAAGCTAGTGGGGAAGGTAGGCAAGGTGTCAGGTTATCCAATGTGGAAAAGGCTGTGATGGAGGTGATACAGAGGTACCCCCCGAAGAGACCTCTAAATGTCTCTTGAGGCAAAGCAAACCAGGAAGAAGCCAGGGGGAGAGATAGGGGAGACATTGTGGGTGCTAAGAGCAAACTCAGGACAGGCTGAGGTTGTGGCTCTTGACAAAGTACAAGAATTTGAAGAGGTATGGCTTCCAGGGTGCAAGGATGGGGTAGAGGCAAAGAGGCGGGAGAGGTGGGCAGGCCCGAGCATGGATGACACACATGGAGGCCCTGACTGTCCTGGAGACCCAGACTCCATTCTGAGGGTGTGAGGAGCCATGAGGACTAAGCAGAAGGGGAACTCTCTTCGCAGGCTCCCCCACACCCAGGGACGCTCCCTATGGGTCTGCATGTGGTGTGAGGGCTGTGTGTGTTCGGTGGCCATGCTGGGGAGCCATACACTGAGCCTGGAGTAGGGTAGGATGCTCAGGGCTGGTGGCAGGGGCGTGCCTCACCTTTGATCTGTCTGCGCACCATTCTCCAGACCACCAGAGAGCCCCCCACCAACAGAAACAGCAGGACAGCCAAGAAGGACAGCAGAACCTGGACCCTAGGGAGAGGGCACAGGGCACTGTGAGGGGCTGAGTGGGCTTCCTCCCCAAACATAAGGACATTCAATGAAAGAACCAAACCCATTGCTATGGAATCCGTACTGAGTCAGGGAGATCCCACAGAGTTTCTGAGAGAGTAAGTCTTTATGGACACAGACTGACACATCTTTCTCCTTTGGAGCAGTTGGTGGGTTCAAACCACCAACCTTTGGGTTAGCTGCCAATTGCTTTAATCACTGTTCCACCAGGGCTCCACTTTAAGTAGGTTGATCAGTTCAAAAACCAAGTACATAGTAGAGTCTTCTTTGTACACATCCCCACTTCACACACCCCCTCCCTCTACAAAGGGTCCTTGAGAACCTTCCAGAGACTCTTGTTCACACCAAACACAAAATTCAAACAAGCATCTGATGTCCAGTGGAGTCCGACTCCTAACACCCCCACGTGTGTCAGTGTAGAACTGCGCTCTATAAGATTTCCAATAGCTCAGTTTGGGAGTGATCGCCTGATCGTTCTTCTGAGGCACTCCTAGTGAGCACGAATTTCCAAATTTCCATCCTTTCTATTATGAAGCAGCACATGAACCATTTCCACCATGCAGGGACATTTTATAGACAATGTAAATACACATAATTTCCCTTCCTTTTTCTCACAAAAGGAAGTAAGGTATACTTGTTACAGGTAGCTCCAACTTAATTGAGTTATAACAAACTCCAGTTAAGCTCATCCTTCTTTTTTTTTTTTTTTTTTACATCTTATCATCAGTAATATGAACATATGTATTTATTAAAAGGAGACAAGGTCAGCTTGAACCAACTCACCAGCTTCTCTTCAGAAACCCTATACGGTGTCACTATGCATCAGAACCAACCCAATGGCACTTAACAACAATGATGTATTGCAATATATCATTATTTAGTATATATTTAGTACTATTTAAGGAGCTCTGGTAGCATAGTGGTTACAAATTGGGCTGCTAACCTTAAGGTTGGCTGTTCTGTGAGTGAAAGATGAGGATTTCTGTTCCTGTAAAGATTTACAGCCTTGGAAACCCTGTGCAGAATCACTATGAGTCAGAACTGACTCCATGGTGCTTAACAACAACAATGTAGTACTATTTATTTAGTATATATAGTTACTATTTCCAATCCCCCAAAACAAATAAAGACTAAATTTTATAAAGATATTAATAGTAAGAAGAAGTTCTGGTAGCGTTGTGGTTACGAGTCGGGCTGTGAACCGCAAGGTCAGCAGTTCGAAACTACCAGATGTTCTGCGGGAAAAAGATGAGGCGTTCTGCTCCCGTAAAGATTTACAGCCTCAGAAACCCTGTGCAGGGTCGCTATGAGTCAGAACAGACTCCAAAGCACTTAACAACAACATTAATAGTTAAAGGGCAATAGTATTGTAAACAAAATTTTTTACAAGAAAGTAATTGACTTAAGTCAGAAAATACTTATAACAGGGTCCTTTGAGTGATTTTTACATCTTATCAGTGATATGAATGTATTGTATGCATATGTTAAATTATATCTCTAAATTTATATGTAATATTCCCATCCCTCAAAAACAAATAGAGATTGAATATATAAAGAAAGATTCTCTATGGGGTTGGAGACCCCAAGAAAGGTCAAGAATTACTAGTTAGAGGGAAGTCCTTGGGTGGAACAAACAGTTAAGTGTTCACTTGCTTGCTGAAAGGTTGGAGGTTCGAAGCTACCCAAAGGCACCCAGGAAGACAGGCCTGGCTATCTACTTCTGAAAGGTCAAAGCCTTGGAAACCCGAGGAGCACAGATCTACCCTGCACACGGGGGTCACCATTCATAGGAGCATTCAGTAGCAACACCAACAAGAGTTTAGAGGGAAGACCCCAAGACCTTGGAGTCACATAAACCTGAATTGGAAGCCCAGCCCTGCCTCTTGTGGCTGTGCACCTGGGAAAAGTGCTTAACCTCTCTGAGCCTTGGTCTACTCATCTGTAAAAGGAAGATAATAATGGTGCAGGAGGCAGAGAGGAGAATATGAGAACACTCATATAAAACATCCATCACGAGCCTGCTGGGTTATCAGCTCTCACTAAATGTTCTTCCGTCCACCCTGGTTCCAGCTCCTCTCAGCCTGAGTCCTCTCTTGAAGCCCAGTGCAGGTGCAGCATGGTTTCAAATGACCAAGCAGGGATACACAGACTGGGACATCCAATTTGACCCAGAGAAGAGGGAGTCCAGAGGTTCCAGTCCAGGGCTGTGTTTGGACCACTAGATGGGGAGGAGGCCCAAGCTGAGAAAACCCACCTCCAGATCACACGGTACCTTACCGTAGCTTATGGTTTGGACTGGAGTTCTGGTTTGTTGGACTGGATTTTTGGCTGCTCTGACTGGAGTTCTGGCTGCTGGGACTGTGGGTGGTACCCTCTGTGGGCAGCAGAGTGGACACCACAGGTAGACCTTCCACTGTGGCTGTGGAGACTGTGGTTAAAGTGGTACTTGTCGGTGTCTTTGACGTTGGTGCTGGTGCTGGAAACACAGATCAGACTCAGGACCTCTCTTATGACCCTCCCTGCTGCTCACCAGTCCCTTTCTGGCAGGTTCACACAGCATGCTCACTGAGGGAAGGCCAGCACAGGGAAGCCTGGGGCCAAAGTCTCCCCCGGAGTTCCTGGTTAGCCCAGGGAGCATTTCCAGGCAGGGCCCAGACACCCCAGCAGTCCTAATTCCATCCTGAGAGCCTCTAACCTCTCTCCCACCTGTCCCCTCCACTCCAGGCCCAGCCACACACACGGCAGAGTCTGTGTCCAGACTGCACATCTGGTCTGTCAGGTGTTACAGTCCCCACTGAGGCCAGCATCAGCCCCGTCTGACCCTGCCTGCCCCTCCACTCAGCTCTGCCCCCCACATGCTCTGAGTTTCTGGGGGACTGACTCTCCCTGCTTTGTGGGCTCTGCTCTCAAGACTGAGCGGGGAGGCCTCAGCTCCTCCCAGAAATCCTCCCCTAGCAATGAGTTGCCCTGAGTTCTGAAGCCCCTGCTGGGGTAATCTGCAATCATGTGGAAGTCTGTCTGTCTGGGGACGCATTGTCTGTATGGCAGTGGTCCCTCTTGGCACGTCAGCACCTGGTAGAGAAGTGGCCTGGATAAACAAGCTTGTGGAATGGGCTTCCTATATCCAAGCACTTTGCTCATCCAGGTTGAGGAGAGGGACACGGTGTGTGTGTAGAGGGAACCTCATGAGGCAGAGAGAGCCCCACAGGTGGCCAGGGAACCCACTGAGTCTTCTCCATGGTCACTGCAGGACCCCAACTTAGGCCAGGCCCCTCACAGGACACTTTGTACAATGTCAGAGGAAGCGGGACTTTCCCTGGGCACCCAGGAAGTGGAGTTTAAAGCAGGTGGCTTGAGGCAGGTGATGTGGAGTCTGGGGAAAGGTGAGGCTTGGGCTTGAGGATCAGAGAAGAGTCAGGACATGGGGCTGGGCTGGGGCTGGGCCATTGCTAGGTCCCCTCAGGCACTGAGAAGCCTAGGTGGCTAGTCTGTGTGTGACCTCTGGTCCCTGAGAGCAGATTCCTCAGAGCCCTACCCCTCCCAGGCCTGGGAGATGAAGGGGAGCCTAAGACTAGCCTGTCCCCACAGCTCTCATGGGGCAGAAGGTGCAAGGATCTTGCTATCCTGTGGGCTCAAACTCAGGTCCTCCTCACCCACGCACACACCCACCCCACCTCCCTCAGGATCTACCAGGCCTGCTGAGATGACTACAATGTCGGGCAAGGCTGACTGTGTTTGGATTCTCTGTCTCTCTCTATCTCTCTCTCTCTCTCTCTCTCTCTCTCACACACACACACACACACACACAGAGTTTTCTCCACCTCTCTGATCTGAGACCTGCCCCCAGCTATTATGACCTGGGAGTGGGAGTTGGGAAAGGAGGGCACTCACCTGAGGACACAATCACCTCCACCTGGGAGGTGGGATCCAACATTAGTTTATCTTGTAAAATTGTTGTGTAGATTCCACACCAGTACATGCCTGCATCCCTCATTCTGAGGTTCCTCAGGGTCACTGTGAAGCTGAGATTGGCAGGATGGTCCGAGATGGACACTCGGCCACTCTCCTTCTCTGTCTTTAACTTGCTGGTGTCCACAATCTTATTACATGGTCTAAAAGCTGGTTGTCTGCACCAGTATTTTATATTTTCCTTGAATTTCTTCTCATAGCAACAGTGAATGCTCAGAGATCCCCCCTCAGTGCCCACCACTGGGGTCCTGGGGCAGCTCACTGTTGCACAGCCTGGAAAACACAAGCCAAGTCCTAGTTCCCCATTCAGATGTGCCTGAATCGGGGTGCCCTGGGAGTCTGTCCTCCTGAAGTTACATCCCCACCTCACAGCAGTCCCTCCCATCATACCTTGAGTGTGCACCTCTGCCCTCTGTCACCCCAAGATTTCCATCACAGTAGCCCCTCCTTCAGACCCCAATATCCTTTCCTACTGCTCTTCCCATCTTCCTCACTGACCACAGACCTTCCATTCCCAAACTCCCCAAGACTGTAAGAACCCCTCCTGTAAGCGCCCTGCTCTCACCAGAAAGGCATTCCAACTCTAACAGCACCTAACATCTCACAGTCTATGTACCCATATGCTCCAAGGACGGGAATGTAAACCAGGGTAGAAATGTTGTTGTTAAGTGCCTTCGAGTTGGTTCCGACCCATAGTGACCCTGTATAGGGTTTCCGAGGAGTGGTTGGTGAGTTTGAACCACCGACCGACCTTGTGGTTCAAATTGACTTTGCAGTCTAGCACATAAACCCACAGCGCCACACCAGGGCAGAAATAGGGTGTTCAAATCCACTTTCTTCATCCAACACTTATCATCCCTTCTCCCTAGCCCACTAACCATAAACGTGAGGAACTAGAGACCATATTTGGATAGGATTTTCACTATGCAGCTCCTCTACCAGGGTGCTTCTTTATTATCTTAATGTGTTGCTTTAGGATCCCAAAGTCTTACCTACTAATATCATAGAACAAGAAAACAGGAAGCTAAATAAGTTTATAAGGAAGATCGTAGAATCAATGCATTTGAGTTATGGTGTTGAATGAAGGAAACTATTGAAAGTACCATGGACGGACAAAAGAACAAATAGATCTGTGTTGGAAGAAGTACAGCCAGAAAGATCCTTGGAAGCCAGGATGGCCAGACTTCATCTTTCATACTTTGGACATATAGTCACTGGAGGGACCAATCACTGGAGAAGGATATCATGTTTGGTAAAGTGGAGGGTCGGCGAAAACGAGGAAGATCCCCAGCGAGTTGCATTGGCACAGTGGCAGCATCAGTGAGCTCAGATGTAGTGACGACTGTGAGATTGGCCCAGGATTGGGCAGTGTTTCATTCTGTTCTGCACAGGTTCACTATGAGTCGGTACTGACTCAATGACACCTAGCAACTACAACGACAAAATCATTCATCCAAGAACTAGGCAAGGACACCCAGTTCACAGGGGAATAAGGAGTAAATCTCACCCAGACACTGGTGAATTGTTACTTTGTGTTGTCAGTTGCTGTTAAACCGATTCTAACTTATAATGACCCTACAGATAACAGAATAAAGCACTACCTAGTCCTCACAATTGTTGTTATATGTGAATCCATCTTGCTGGGGATCCATCTGTGTGAATCCATCTTGTGAATCCACTGTGTGAATCCATCTTGCTGGGGATCTTCCTCTTTTGTGCTGACCTTCCACTTTAGCAAGCACAATGTCCTTCTCCAGAGTTTAGTCCTTCCTATCATGTTCAAAGTATAAGACACAAAGTCTCTCCATCCTTGCTTCTAAAGAGCAATCCAATGGTACTTCTTCCAAAACATATTTGTTTTGAAAATATCATTGTTTGAGTCAAGTGCACCTTAAGGATATCTTGTCAGCAAATTTACCTATTACAATGCATCCAATTAGGACACTAACTGGTGAATTAGGAAACAGAAAAACAGGGAAATTAAAATATACATTGAAAAATGGACTTTTCTTTGGTATGGGGTAAGAGTAATATAAACAAACCAGTGGTTTGTTGCTATTGTTAAGTGCCATCAAGTCGGATACAGCCCATAGCGACAACAGAACCAAACACTGCCCAATCCTGCACCATCTTTATACAATTGCTACTATGCTTAAACCCATTGCTGCAGCAAATGTGCCAGTCCATCTTATTGGGGATCTTCCTCTGTTTTGCTGAACCACCACTTTACCAAGTAGGATGTTTGTAATGGTTATGTTTCTGTGTCAACTCGACCAGGCCAGGATTTCCAGAGCTTTAGCAGTTGGGATGTGCTTATTCCCATGGTGATGAAACCTAATATAGACGTAAGTTCTGTGATGAGTGACTATGAGTAGCCAATCAATTGAAGGGATCTTCCACGGGGGTGTGGCCTGCTCCCAATATAATGGACATATTCTGCTTGGGACCTGGAACTCTACAACTAAGATAATCATTGTAAGATAATAAACTTCTGAAAAGGCACCCAACACCTGTTGCTTGTGTTTTTGAAAACCTTTGTAAGTAGATGTAAATAGACACCTTCTTCAGATATAGTGGGAAACACTGGGCACTGCCCCCTGAATCAGGGACAAAGTAAGGATGACCGCTATGATCATGGTCACTGGGTGTCACTCTGAGGACATTGTGTTCAGTCAGAGAAAGAAATACAAGAAGTGAGTATCAGAGAGGAACAGCAAACTCT